ACATGTATATTGTCTAATGCTGAATTAACTTCCCCATAAAATTTCAAGGCCAGTGGTACTTCAAGATGCTCACTTAAAAAAGTGGGTCTAGTCATCTGTAACATTAAGGATGATCATTTCCTTAACATTTTCCTGTTAAGCTTTGTGTCATCTAAGGTATAATCAGAAAAGCAGAACTGTCAGGGGTGATGTAAAATAAAAGATTAATCACAAGCTTAGCCCTCATGTAATTGCTGGAACTGGTGGAAAAATCTGTGCGAAATGGTTGTATTTGAATTGGCTATACAGCCTGTATTGGCTGTACAATAGTTTAGGGTAATATTTGGAATGGAAACTTGCATGTGCACAAATGTACACACACACTGACCTGTAAGTATGTACTATTGTAGAACCCCTGAGGACAATTTGAACCCAATAAGGCAAATCAAATTCCTCTGTCTCTGACCTGCTCAATTTCATGTAGTGGGTATCATTTTGCATGAGGCTACATGCAGACCTGGCCCAAGACAGAGAGAAGCTGAGAGAGGAGACTGGTGGGAGTGGGGGCTGTGAGTCAGCAATAAGATGAAGGGCAGAGCAGGAGGAGCGTGTTAGAGTTGCCACGGTGCCCGGAGCCTGCACCAGCCTGCAGAAGTCAAAACATGGCTGCTGGGTCACAGCTGCCCTCCAGATCTTGCACAGACATCTTTGGGATGAACCTTAACCCAATACAAGGAAGCTGATTCTGAAAAATATATTTCCAGAAAGTTAAGTTGACACAATACAAAGGTACCACTGTGCCCTATCAAAACAAGCTAAAGCTTGCTGGCGGAGAGGACCAATCACATTTATTCACAGTTGGGCAAAGTCCTTACTCCTTTTTGCTTAGTCACACTCTCCCATGGATATCCTGCAATTTTACATTGCCTTGACACTGTGATTATCTTAGTAAGTAACCATCTTATGCTAATTAGATACACAGAGGCAAATGGAAAGAGGAGTGAAAAATGGTTAATATACATAGAAATATATTTATATGATGATACGAAAGAATTTCATAATTATTTCTTCAAATCATCGCGTGATTATAACTGATAGTTATAACTACTTTCTCCATAGCCCATTGCATAATCTCTTTGCTCACAGCAAGCACCTCCATTCACTGTTACTGCTATTTTCTTTCTTTTTTTTTTTTAAGATTTATTTATTTATGCAAGAACCGGGGTACAGTACAGGTGTGCGAGAGGCTGAGAAGATTCACCAGAGACAGAGCAGGGAACAGAACAGGCAGACTGACGAAATACACTGCTGAGGGGAACAATGGGCAAGACAGGAGAGGTCTGCTGTGCCATGTGGGATTCTCGCCGCCCTGCCGGAATTGAACCCGGGCTGCAGAGGCTGAGTACAGCTTAACTGCGTCGCCCAACCGCCTGCACCACCAGGGAGGCCCTTGCTACTGTTATTTTCATAAAACAAAGTCCTGTTCAGCAGTACTTTGCTTGGAGTTCTATAAAGCTGAGTCAGGAATTCTGCAACTATCCCTGTGTTATTGGCAGAAACATTGTGCGTGTGTAGGGAAATCTGTTTTTAAAGTGTCTATTTAAATGAAGGAAAAATCTTTCCAATATCCATTAAAAATTAATACATTGTGTTTTGGGAGTCATAATCAAGAAAGATGCATGATTTTTTATTGAAAGGAATAGAAGACACTGAAGGAAAACATTTTAAAAAATGCTTAAATAAAATTGACTTTCAAGTGAGCATCCCATGAACATGAATTTAAACTTAAATCCTTTGTTAAATTAAAAGTCACTCTAAGAATGTGGTAAATGACTGAAAGGCTGTAAAACTATACTTGCAGTACCTAACTCTGGAAAAGGACTCAAATGCAGCACATATAAAAAAGATCAAATAAATCATTAAGTAAAACAATAAAAATGGCAATATCTTGAAGAACCACTGCAGAAATATGATCTCCCAGAACTAATAAACATAAAAAAAGAAGCAGCCCAAGCCTGGTCCCAATAGGAGTTGCTATTGCTGAATCCAACTAGTAAACTTCCCATTGCAGAAAGGACTCTGGAGGAACACTGGATTTTAATTTTTTCCTCACAGATAAGAAAGTGTTTGACTTCAAAATGACAAATATAACATATAGGCTGGGTTGGGCAGGAGAGTAATAGGTTATCCTGGATAAAAACTTGGCATTTGTTGTATAATGCCAATGTTGTGTTAAATGAAAAATAGAATTTTTAGAATGTGATAATTTTAAATAAAGCTCTTTTGCAGATGAATTTTTAGGATAAAATGGTAAAAAATCCCTATTCCTTCAATGTCCAGACGCTGACATAGTTTCAGTTTGGAAACATTTAAACTATTAATTGTTTTTAATATTTTAATTGCATAAAAAACACTGGCCAAGTATTGTTTTCATGATAACTACAGTAATAGTTGTAGAGTCTCACCAAATAATATTTGTGTAACCTGGCAATAAAATGGGTGAATATTTAAATGCAAGGACCCATGGTTGTGTCATTTCTAAATTTCTAATAAATTAAGCAGAGTTATATCTCATCAGTGCTGTTATCATCCCACATCCAGATACATCACTGAAGAGATGACAGCAGTCACAGTCTATTTTGGTTTCATTGGCTTCAGCGATGCTCACCCTTCTAAGTTTTAGTGGTCAAGCGGGAAGGAAGAGATGGTGATTTCTGGTCCATCTCTATGTGGAAGCCAAGGACCAGTGGGCACATTTCACCTTAGAATAAGCTTGCAGCTAGAGAACAACCAAAATATGAATGAATATTTATGGTCACACCCATAATTTGTTTCAGATAAACCCTAAGACTTTATCACAGACTAAATTACTAAACTTGAAATTTTTATTAACGAATCTCCTCCAAAACTTCCTTTAATACCGAACTTTATATCTATTCTTTATCAGATATAATCATTTTTCAGTCAGCCACACAAAGGCAAAACAATTGCTGGATGACCAAGTCTCCCAGCTGGTTTCATAACATGTTCAAATATGGCCCAGAAACCACATAGCAGAGGCAGCACTGTCTAAGATGCAGGATCTTGCAGCTGTGCTGTCAGGGCACACGGCAGGGCCATGGCCACAGGGCAGGGAGGGAGGATGAATGTGTGTGTGGTGGGGGGGTGGGGGAGGAGTTGGGAGTGGTTTTGGGAGGGGGAAATGCCACTTTCACGCTGTCCCCAGGAGCTGTGGGCATTGATGGTCTCAGCTTAGTTACAAAAATTGCAATTCAGGGTATAGGCTGCCTCAAAGGTGCTGGAAAGGATCATACTCAGCAAAATAAGCCAGAAAGAAAAAGAAAAATACCGGATGGTCTCACTCATAGCAAGAATCTAGAAAACCTAAATAAGGGACCAGGAAAAACAATAACTATAAGAAAGAAAAAATAAAAATCAACAAACTACGAAACAGAGACACACTATGGAGGATGGGGGGCGGGGAAAGGGGGGAATGGGGTCAAAATAAGGGGGTTGCAATTGTGTGGGTAATATAAAAATAAAATAAAAAAAAAGGGGGCTCTCAAAGGTGATGTCCCAGCTAATTTGAACTCTCTCCCTGCACCACCCGCCATTAATTATTGCAACCTGTACCAAAGAGTGGTCACAGTTTCAGAGATCCTGTCTGCACTTTCTTTTCCAGTTGTTTATTTGCATTTTGGCCCTTTTACATTAATTCATCCACTGAAACAATGAAATTAAATGGAAATGGACAGCTATATATCATGTGACAGTGTGCAGCACTTCAGCTACAATTTCTGTGGGGCTGACACATCTTGAGTGTGCATCTTACAGGCATCACATTCTGCAGTAGTGAGGTATAGACAGCATGGTGTCTGGAGACATCAGATGGCTAACTTGATTTGATTTCATATTACATATTATAATTACATATTAATTATATGTTAATATTTCATATTACATATACTACATATTAAAAACACAGCAACAATATTTAAGAAGTGAGACTGAGCACTTTGGAGGGATGGGGTGAAAATGACACCAAGGCCAATCTAGGACAAGTGACATATTAAGTGATCTACTTGTATAGCACCCTGCTCAGAGTCAGATTTCAATAGATAACGTTATTCTTGTTATAATTTCATAAATACGGGCCTCCCCTGGTGCAGTGGTTGAGCACTGGGCTGCGAAACTGCCCACAGCCTCTGCAGCACCAGTTCGATCCCCGCCCATGGGCGAGGGTCCCACATGGCGCGACAGACTTCTCCTGCCTCACCCACTGCTCCCCAAAGCAGTGTATTTCATCAGTCTTCCTGTTCTGTTCCCTGCTCTGGCTCTGGTGAATTCTCTCACCTTCCCGTGCTTCTGACTGTACCCAGTGCTTGTATAAATAAATAAATAAATCTTTTAAAAAAATTAATAAATACATCAAGAACTGAATAGCTTTTCAAAGTCAGAGGACTGATCTTTTACAATTTAATTTTGATTTTGAAGCAGCAAGTAGAGTCCTAGAACCCAGTAAGGAAGAAGAAAGAGATGCATGAATGCTTTGAGTAGGATAGTTCACTGAGAAAGCCAAATATCTGTGAATTTTAAAAATTCCATTAGATTCTGCACATAAAGAAAGAAGGGCAAGGTAAATGAACAACCATTAAATAGATACAAGGAGGGAAAATCCATCTATTTTCAATGTGGTCCCAAAACTATCCCACTGAAAATTATGAAATTATGTAAACGGATTCAACTTTGTTTTCCCTTCAGCTCAAACCTATAATACTGCTTGCTTTTTCTACACTCCCTTTCACATTGCTTTATATTTACCAGGAACAGACAAGGAGACAGGGTCAAAAATTAGGGTGAACTAAACTCTTTTCTCATCTGTGCATGACCAGGTGGGAAATGCAACATGAGAAACCCTGTTTCCTGTGTGGGGAGCAGCATCAAGCCCCAGGAACTACATAAACACCCTTCCAGGCCCTCAGAGACACTGAGCTCCCCACTGGAGGCACAACTGCACACACATGTCAGGGCACACACGCCCCTTGGTGCCCTCCAGCCTTCTGTGGGCCCTGGTGGCCTTCACTTGCTCTGGTAGGCCCCGGGGCCAGGTCGGGGGTCGGCGGCGGGGGGTTGGGGGGGGGTGTTAGGCACGGGTGTAGGGGGTGGGGGTAGGGATGGAAGGATAGCACTGGGCACATGGTGCTGGCATGGATGATGGGGAAGGAGGCCTGGGGAAAAGCCAACATGTGATGATTTCAGTGTGCTTTATCTTTGGATACAACATTAGTCTAATTCTTACAATATTTTAGTCACTGCCTCAGCTGTGTTTTCTGATTCTCCCCACAGGATCCAGTGTGGCCCAGAATGTTACTCAAGACCAGCCAAGTGTATCTACGAAAGAGGGGTCAGCAGTCACCTTGAGGTGCCGGTATGAAACACGTTGGCGTTCATACATCCTTTACTGGTACAAGCAGCTTCCTGATGGAAATATCACTTACCTTATTTATCAGGATTCTGATGAGGACAATGCAGTAAAGGGTCGCTATTCTATAGACTTGCAGAAAGCAGACAAATCCATCTCCCTCATCATTTCACCCTTGCAACTGGAAGATTCAGCATTGTATTTCTGTGCTCTCAGAGATGCACTGTGTTTGAAGTGATAGTAAAAGCTAAACAAAAACCCGAGGGTAAGACCTCTGCTAGGAAGCCAAGCTGAAATCACACGTGCACATCCCAGACAGAAAATGGCCGTGACTGTGGTTGTTTCTTCTGTGGTCTGGATCATGGGTGCTTCTGAGTAAAACCTTCTTCTATGCCATTTGGAAACAGGTGTCAAGAGTAATGTTCTTCTAGTATATTCTCGGCCTTACTTTCTTCAGTTAAAGTCAGCAGCACAGAACAGTGTATACTTGCCCAATGTTGAGAAAAATTGCCCCACAATAATTTCAAGTGGCAGCTGCACTTGAAGATGCTCACATCACAAGCTGGCTCCAGTCATCTGGATCATTATGAAATAATTTCCTTAGCCCTTTCTTTTAGGTTTTTTGTCACTTAAGATACATTCCCAGAGGCAGAACCATAGTGAGTGATGTAGCATAATAGATGGTTCATAAGGATTAGACCACACGTCATTGCTGGAACTGGTAAGAGAATCGACACAAAGATGTTGTGTTTATACTGACTATAGAGCTACATTTGCTAGTAATTTCTAAGCGTAACATTTGCAAGGAATCTTGGATGGGGACAAAAACCTGGACAACCTGGCCTATGAGAATATACTTGAACTCATGAAGACATGGAAACCAGAAAGACAAAGTACAATTTGTCTGCCCCTATCTCCTCAGGCTCAAAGGGAAGGTACCTTTAGGGGAAGTGGATATCACTTGCATCCTGCTATATGCAGACCTTGCCAAAGGCTATAGAAGCTTTAACACATTCCACAATGCCTTGCTCCTGAATAAGGAGCTTGTTTTACATAAAGTCAGACAGAGAGAAGGTGAGAGAGGAGACCTAGTGGGAGTGGGGCGGTGGGTCAGCAATAAAATAAAGGCAGAGCAGGAGTAGCACTTGTGAGTTGCCACCATGCCTGGAGCCTGCACCAGACTGCAGAAGGCAAAACTTGGCTGTTGTGTCACAGCTGCTCTTCAGATCTTGCACAAACCTCTTGGTGACCACCCTAACCTAAAAAATACAAGAGGGCAAATTCTGGGAAATATATTGCAATAAAGTTGAGACAATACAAGGTTGCCCCAGTGCACTGCCAAAAACAAGCTAATCCACCCCCACAAACAGGGTCATGTTCATTTACCCATTTTTGGGCTAGTTCTTACCCCTAGTCAAACTTTTCCCTCATATCTTGTATGTTACCTACTCCATTAAACTAAATGATTAAACAAAACAATTAACCAATATGATTAACTTCATCGACAGATCTTATACTACTGCATAAAGGCAAATGCAAAGGGGAGTAAAATTGGTTAACCACATAGAAATATGAGCTTAATCCTAAAATAGGTAAGAATTTTTCTCTCTCAGACCTCTGCCCCATGCTTTGATCCTCCGTCTGTGGGCCAGAGTGGGTGTCTCAACTAATTAGAACTCATTCCCTGCACCACCCAGTCATGAGTTACTGTGACTTTAGCAGAGATCGTCTATCTTCTTGTTTCACTGACCCTGTCTGTACTTTCTTTCCCAGCTCTCTATTTGTCTTAGGTCCTTTTATATTACTTGTTCACTGAAACAATGAACACAATGGAAGACTGACCCCTACTTAGCACATGATCATGTATTAGTGCAACACAGTTCAGCTCACAACCTGTGCAGTTTACATGTCCTGAGTGTGGGCAACTGACAGACATCATGTCTGCAGGAGTAGAGTGTAGTTAACACCGTGCCATGGAAGATCAGCATGCTTCAGGAGATTTAACTTTTAGAAGTTTCAAAAAGGAACCCAGATGTGGAATTTAACATGTGAGACTGAAAACCTTGGAGCGATGGGATAAAAATAAGTGACATCAGGACCATCCCAGGACACACAATCTAATCATTGCAATCTAATTGTTGAGGAATCATACTGAGCACCCTGATGCTCCTCAGAGTCGAATAAATAACACTCAGTGTCAAAATTGCAAGAGATAGCACGTTATTGCTGTTATAATTTCATAAACTCATAAACAATTAAATAGCTTTTGAAAGTCAGAAGGACTGATCTTAATCATTTGATTTTGATTTGAAGCAGCTTCATTTATTATAAAACTTAGGCAGATCACTACAATCTAGGAAGGAAAAAGAAAGACACTCAATAGTTGTTTGAAATAGGATAATATTTGCTGAGAAAACAGGGCTCTTTGAATTTTTTTAAAAATTCATTAGATTATGGATAGTGAGAAATGAGTGCAAGGTAAGCGAATGACCATCAAATAGATACAAGGAGGTGCCAACTACAAAATACATTCCATTTCTAAAGGAGTCCCAAAATTATTTCACTTAATATTCCACAGAAAATTACCAATGTGTGTCAATGATTAAATACTCATGAACCTTCAGTTCAAACTGTAATATTTATTGCTTTTTCATATATAGCTTCATTCAAATTCCAGGGAAGGGAAGTAGACAAAGTCCAAGTTTTCTCATCTGTGCATAACCAGGTGGGCAATGCAACATGAGAAACCCTATTTCCTGTGTGGGGAGATGCATCACCCCCAGGGACTACATAAACGCCCTTCCAGGCTCTCAGAGACACTGAGCTTCCTGCTGGAGACACAGCTGCACGCACGTGTCAGGGCATACATGCCCCATGGTGCCCTCCAGCCTACTGTGGGCCCTGGTGGCCTTCACCTGCTCTGGTAGGCCCAGGGCCAGGCATGGGTGTGGAGGATGGAAGGACAGCACCGGGCACAAGGTGCTTGCATGGATGAGGGGGAAAGAGGACTCGGGAAAGCCAGCATGTGATGATTTCAAAGTGGTTAATTATTAACAATTAAGAATTAATTCACTCATATGATAATTAACTGCATCATCTCTGTTTTCTGATTTTCCCCCACAGGATCCAGTGTGGCCCAGAAACTTATTCAAGACCAGCCAGCTATAACTACTCGAGAGCGTTTAGCAGTCACCCTGAGGTGTCGGTATGAAACAAGTTGGAGTGCATACTACCTTTCCTGGTACAAGCAGCCTCCTGATGGAAAGATGACTTACATCATTCATCAGTCTTCTTCTGCCAACAATGCAAAAAAGGGTCGCTATACTATAACCTTTCAGAAAGCAGACAACTCCATGTCCCTCAAAATTGTGTCCTTACAATTGGCTGATTCGGGCATGTATTTTTGTGCTCTCCGGGAAGGCACTGTGTTTGAAGTGATAGTAAAAGTTGAACAAAAACCCATGCTCTATAAGTCCTGCTCAGGAGCCAAGCTGAAATCACACCTGCACATCCCAGACAGGCAGCGGAAGTGACTGTGGCTGCCTCTTCCATGGCCTAGCTCAGGGGATTGAATTCTAAGTAAAACCTCTGTCCGTGTCATATGGAAACAGGTGTCCAGGGTAACTTTCTTTTAACACAATCTCAGTCATGAATTTTTGACTTGTTATTAGTCTTACAGAGAATATGTATAGTTTCCTAATGTTGAAAAACTTGGACCACAATAATTTCAAGTAACAGCTGCACTGAAATATCCTCACATTCATTACAAGGTGGGTCTAGTCATCTGGAATCGTCATGAAAATCATTTCTTGCACCTTTTGCTCTTATGTTTTCCTCTTAGCACTTGGGGCGATGTTTTCCCTTTACGGTAAATATAAGAAGAGCTGCAGAATCATGACAAACAGTGCTTGTGTGCTCATGACACCAATGTGGCTGAATGTTTGAATTAAGAGGCCCCATGGGCTCTTCTTAGAACTTTTAATAAATTAAGCAGAGCTATGTCAACAATGAATATGATTTTATTGATGTTGCCATTCAGTCTGCAATACGATAGTCAGAGGATGGATTTTCATTTCATCTGTTTGAGTGGTGCTGCTTTTCCATGACTTGGTGGCTGAGTAGGAGGAAATGGATGGTGACTTGTTTGTCTCTTATGTGGAAGGCAAGGGCCAGAGGGCATATTTCACCATAGAATCAGCTTGGAGGCAAGAGAAGAACCAAAATATGCATGAATATTTCCTATCACACACATAAATTTGTTGCATATATGTTCTAGATCTTATCACAAATTAATTCACTAAACATGAAAATTTTAAATAATCAATCTCCTCCATATATCCTGTCATAGGAACTATATGCCTGTGCTTTACCAGATATAATCTGTTATTATAATCACAAAGAAAGACCAAATCTCCCAAAGGGTGTCCTGACTCATTCAGACATGGTCCAGAGAAACCACACTCACAGGCAGCACCGTGTGAGCTGCAGATCTTGCAGTTGTGCTGTCGGGCACAGGGCAGGGCCATTGGCACAGGAGGGGAATGCTGCCTTCATTTCCCCCCAGTGCTGCTGTGAGCATTGATGGTCTCGGCTCATTTACAAAAATTGCAAGCAGTTATCAGTTTCTGTTGCACTCAGAGGTGAAGTGGGCCAGAGAAGATATCTCAACTAATTAGAACTTTCTCCCTGAACCACCCAGATGTGAGTTGTTTTGACCTGTAGCAGAGAATCTTCATATTTCTGAGCCTCGGTCCTTTATTCCCAGTTGTCTAACTTCCCTTTGATCCTTTTCTATTAATTCACGCACTGAAACCATGAAATCAATGGGAAATGACAGCTACTTAACAGGGGATCTTGCAACAGGAGCAGCACTTCAGATAACAACTTCTGTGGGTTCACATGTACTAAGTGGTACACATTACAGATAGCACATTGTAGGAGTGGATTAGACAGCACTGTGCCATGTGAGGATTAGCAAGCTTATCTTGTTTTGATATAACAAAGTGACAAAAAAATTCAGCCAGGGATTGAACAAGGGAGATGAGTACTCTGGCCCAATGGGATTAAAAAAGAAACTATGACACCTGAGTCATTCTAGGACACATGATCTGCTCAGTGACTCTATTTGTGCAACAAAAGACCCTGACTTTCCTCAGAGCTTAATGAATAAAACTCAGTGTCAGATTCAAAACATGATATGTTATTCCTGTTATTTTCATCAACACACAAAAATAAGTAGCATTTTAAAGTCAAAAGGACTGATCTTTTATCATCTGATTTTCATTTGAAGCAGCTTTGTTTATTGTAAAACTTCAATGAGTCCTATAACTCAATAGGAAGAACGAGATGCACTCACTGTCTTGAATAAGTTAGTCTTTTTTTTTTTTTTATAGAGGCATGTTTTTTATTTTATTTTATTTATTTATTTGTTTGTTTGTTTATACAAGCACTGGGTACAGTCAGAAGCGCGGGAGGGCGAGAGAATTCACCAGAGCCAGAGCGGGGAGCAGAGCAGGCAGAAGGACCAAAGTACACCACTGAGGGGAGCAGCGGGCGGCAGGAGAGGTCTGCGCGCCATGTGGGACCCTCCTCCGGTGGCCGGGGAGCAGCCGGGGATCGAACCGGCGCCGCAGAGGCCGCGGGCAGCTTCGCAACCCAGCGCTCAACCGCTGCGCCACCGGGGAGGCCCTTGAATAAGTTAGTCTTCACTGAGAAAGTCTCAAATCTGTGAATTTTAGAAAAAAGTTTCATTAGCTTCTGGATAGAGAGAAATGAATGCAAGGTAAATGAATGATCATTAAGTATTGCAGGGAGGGGAAAATCCATAATACATCTGATTTTCAATGAGTCCCTCAAATTATTGCACTCATAATTATCAAAGATTCAATCTTTGTTTTCCCATAGTTCAAATCTATAATATGAATTCCTTTTTCCATGACTCTTTTTATGTACTGCTTCCCAAGTTATCAGGGAGGGACAAGTAACAATAAAAAGGTTTGGGGGAGCCAGACTCTTCTCATCTTTGCATGACCCGGCAGTCAATGGAACTTAAGAAACCCCACTTCCTGTGTGGGGAGCAGTATCAGGCCCCAGGGACTACATATATGCCCTTCCAGGCTCTCAGAGACACTGAGCTCCCTTTTGGAGGCACAACTGCACACCCGTGTCAGGCCACACACACCCCATGGTGCCCTCTAGCCTGCTGTGGGCCCTGGTGGCCTTCATCTGCTCTGGTAGGTCCGGGGCCAGGCAGGGTGGGGAGGATGGGAGGACAGCACCAGACACAGGGTGCTTGCATGGATGAGGGGGAGGGAGCACTGGGAAAGCAGGCATGTGATGATTTCAATGTGCTTTCTCTTTGGGTACAAAATTAGTCTTCTCTGTATCAACTCTGGTTTCTGATGTTCCCCACAGGATCCAGTGTGGCCCAGAAAGTTATCCAAGACCAGCCAGCTATATCCAAACAAGAGGGGTCAAGAGTCACCCTGAGGTGTCGGTGTGAAACAAGTTGGAATGACTACTTCCTTTGCTGGTACAAGCAGCTTCCCGATGGAAAGATCACATTCCTTATTTATCACCGTTCATCTTCTGGTAACAGTGCAAAAAAGGGTCGCTATTCTATAAACTTCCAGAAAGCAGACAAATCCATCTCTCTCACCATTTCACCCTTGCTGCTGGATGACTCCGCAATGTATTTCTGTGCTCTCCGTGATGCACTGTGTTTGAAGTGATAGTAAAAGCTGAACAAAAACCCTGAGCTCAAGAAGGGTGAGACCTCCACTCAGGAGCCAAGCTGAAATCACACCTGCACCTCCCAGACAGGCGATGGCAGTGACTGTGGTTGCTTTGTCTTTGGTCTGGATCGGGGGATACTTCTGAGTAAAACCTCCTTCTATGTCATTTGGAAGGAGTTGTCCAAATTAACCTTCTTTTAATGCATTCTCAGGCATGACATTTTGACCTAAAATCAATCATACAAATGTGTGTATTGTTGAAAGTTGAAAAACTTGCTTCAAGGGCCTCCCTGGTAGCCTACAGGTTAAGTCTCAGCATGATCACCCCTATGGCCTGAATTCAATCCCAGGCCAGGTTGCTGATGCACCTAGTGCAGCAGATCTCTCCAGTCTTGCCCACTGCTCCCCTCAGCAGTGTAGATCAGTAGATCTGCATTCTGTTCTCCACTCCACTCTGGTGAACTCTCTCAGCCCCTGCACCCCTGACCTACACCCACTTTTCCTACACAAAAAAAAGAAAAAAGAAAGAAAGAAAAAGAAAAAGAACTTGCCCCACAATAATTTCAAGCGGTAGCTGCACATAAAGATTTTCACATCAGTGATGCACTGTATCTAGTTATCTGAATTGTCATGTAAATATTTTACTGAGCCTTTTGCTCTTAGGGTTTGTGTCAACTAAGGTATAATCGCAAGAAGCTGAAACACTGTGAGTGACGTAGAATAAGAGATGAATCACAATATCAGACCTCATGCAACTGGCTTTATGATTAACCAAAAGAATTAACCAATATGATTAATTTTAATCAGCAAATCTTAATCTACTGCAGATATGCAAATGGTGAAAGGGAGTAAGAAATGGTTAATATAAATATAATTATATTGAAAAAGAGTTTTCCCAACTATTTCTGCAGATCATCATGTGATCGTAGTGGTAATTATGATTACGTCTTCCGTTACCCACTGCATAATCTCCTTGCTCATAGCAAGCACCGCCACTCAATACTACACCTGAGTTTTATATAGAGCAAGCTCTTTTTTAGGAGCAAAGGTGCATGGAATTCCTTTCAAGCTGAATAAGGAATTCTGTAAGTCCACTCCTCTCATCTGCAGAAACATTGCAGGCATGAAAGGAAAATTCATATTCAAAGTGTTTTTAAGTTGAGGGGAGGATCTTATTAACAGTCAAAGAAAATTGGTACATTGCATTCTGGGAAACACATCAAGAATGATGCCTGACTTTTCTTCAGAAGTGGTAGAAGCCACTACAGGAAAGCATTTTTTTTTTTAAATGTTGCTTTTCGCAGACTTTGCTATTTATTTATTTATTTTTTAAAGATTTATTTATACAAGCACTGGGTACAGTCAGAAGCGCGGGAGGGTGAGAGAATTCACCAGAGCCAGAGCGGGGAGCAGAGCAGGCAGAAGGACCGAAGTACACTGCTGAGGGGAGCAGCGGGCGTCAGGAAAGGTCTGCGCGCCATGTGGGACCCTCCTCAGGTGGCTGGGGAGCAGCCGGGGATCGAACCGCTGCAGAGGTAACCCAGCACTCAACCACTGCGCCACCAGGAGGCCCAACAGGAAAGCATTTTTAAATTGCTTAGATAAAATAAATACAATTGTTGAGCTAATTTCCCATGAGCAAGTATAATTTTATTATCATTGTGAACAGTCACTGTCACGAATGTCAAAAGTTAATGCAGAGTGTTAAAAAAACACCTGCAAAGAAGAGCTAAAAAGAAACTTCTCCAAAGAGGAAACACAAATGGCCAACAGTCATATGAAAAAAATGTTCAACATCACTTGTAATCAGAGAAATACAAATCAAAACTACCATGAGATACCATCTTACACCAGTGAGAATGGCACATATTAAAAAAACTAGCAACAACAAATGTTGGCGAGGTTGTGGAGAAAAAGGAACTCTCCTGCACTGTTGGTGGAAGTGCAAACTGGTCCAACCGCTATGGAGAGCTGTGTGGAGATTTCTTGACCTACTAAAGATAGAGCTTCCATATGATCCAGCAATTCCACTCCTAGGTATTTACCCAAAGGACACAGAAACAGTAATTCCAAAGGGCACCTGCACCCCTATGTTTATAGCAGCACTGTTTACAATAGCTAAGCTTTGGAAACAACCAAATGCCCAAAAATAGATGACTGGATCAAGAAGATGTGGTGCATAAACACAATGGAATATTACTCAGCAATCAAAAAAGATAAACACATGCAGTTTGCAGCAACATGGATGGAGCTAGAAGGGATCATGCTCAGCAAAATAAGTCAGAAAGAAAAAGAAAAATACTGGATGGTCTCACTCATAGCAGGAAATTAGAAAAGGTAAATAAGGGACCAGGAAAAAGACTAATGAATACAAAGTAAAAATCAAAATCAACAAGCAACTATAAACCAGAGACACACTGGGGGTGGGGTGGGGGGAGGGGCGGAGAGGGGTGGGGAGAGGAAGGATTAGGGTCAGAACAAGGGGGTAGTGCAATTGTATGGGGAATATAACCAAAATGAAAATGCATAGACTGTGCAAAAATGAAAAATGATGTAAGAATTATATAAAATAAAATATTAAAAAAAAAACTCAAAGTGTATTTCTGGAAAAGGACTCAAATGCAGAATATATAAAATGCTCATAGAAGTCAATGTAAATGGAAAGTTTAAAAATGACAAGATTGTGAAGAACACTTCAGAAGTCTGATAGCCCATAGCTAATAAACATGGGGGGAAACATGCTTAATGTTTTCAGTCTTTACAGAAATGAAAATATAACTCCATGTGGGTGTTCCATCTGCGTATGTATGTCAAGTGATTAAAAATTCATTTTCTTCAGTTCAAGTCTATAAAGTAATTGTTTTTCATGTCCCTTCTCATGAACTGCCTCACATAATTACCAGGGAAAGACAAGTAGACAAAGTTCAAGTTTGGGATAAGCCAGACTCTTCGCTCGTCTGTGCATAACCAGGTGGGCAATGCAACATGAGAAACCCTATTTCCTGTGTGGGGAGCAGCATCGCCCCCAGGAACTACATAAACGCTCTTCCAGGCTCCCAGAGACACTGAGCTCTCAGCTGGAGGCACAACTGCACACATGTGTCAGGGCACGCACGCCCCATGGTGCCCTCCAGCCTGCTGTGGGCCCTGGTGGCCTTCACCTGCTCTGGTAGGCCCAGGGCCAGGTGGGGATGGGGAGGATGGGAGGACAGCACCAGGCACAAGGTGCTTGGCATGGATGAGGAGGAAATGTGGACTGGAGGAAAGCAAGCATAGGATAATGTCTAAGTGGTTTATCTTTGGGTACAAAATTAGTCTAATTCATATAATATTCTATTTACTGTAACAATTCTATTTATGATTTTGCCCACAGGCTCCAGTGTGGCCCAGAAAGTTATTCAAGACCAGCCAGCTACAGCCTCGCGAGAGGGGTCAGCAGTCACTCTGAAGTGCCGGTATGAAACAAGCCTGAGTGCATACTCCCTTTACTGGTACAAGCAGCCTCCTGATGGAAACATGACTTACATTATTCATCAGCTTTCTTCTTCTAACATTAATGAAGTACAGGGTCGCTATTCTATAAACTTCCAGAAAGCAGAGAAAACCATCTCCCTCACGATTACACCCTTACAATTGGACGATTCAGCAATGTATTTCTGTGCTCTCCGGGAACCCACTGTGTTTGAGGGTTCAGTAAAAGCTGAACAAAAACCCCAGAGCTCAAAAAGGGTGACCTCTGCTCAGGAGCCAAGCTGAAATCACACCTGCACACCCAGACACAATGGCAGTGACTGTGGCTGCTGCTTCTGTGGTCTGGATCGGGGGTGACTTCTGAGTAAAACTTACGTCTATGTCATTTGGAAACAGGTGTCCAGCGTACTGTTTTGTAATACATTTTCAGTTTTGAGTTTTTGACTTAAAGTCAGTAATACAGAACATGTGTACAGTTGCCAAACATTGAAAACATTGCCCCATACTCATCTCAAGTAACCACTCCCCTTTAAGATGCTCACACCACAAGCCGGGCCTAGTCATTTGGAACCATCATGAAAATCGCTTCCTTAGGCCTTTTTCCTCTTAGGCTTTGTGTCAGTTAAGATATACTCAGAGAAGCAGAACCACTGTAAGTGAGTGAACAATAAGAGATTAATTATAAGGATTAGACCCCATGTCATTACTGGAACTGGGGGAAAATCTATGGAAACCCTTTGTATTTACATTTTCTGTAGACTTTGAATTTTCTATACATCAGCCAGAGTAATAGTTGGGAAAAAACCTTGGAAATGAGCTAAGTATGGACAAACTAACTGTGAGACAATGAGGACAAAGGAATCCAGACAATCAAAACTACAACTTGTTTCTCTCACCTCCTCAAACATGGGGTGGGCACCTTCAGGGGAAGTGGGTATCACTTGCACCATGCTACATGCAGACCTGGCCCAAGACAGAGAGAAGCTGAGAGAGGAGACCTGGTAGGGGCGGGGCTGTGGGTCAGCAATAAGATGAGGGGCAGAGCAGGAGTAGCACGTGTGAGTTGCCACCATGCTTGGAGCCTGCAGCAGCCTGCAGAAGACAAAACATGGCTGCTGGGTCACAGCTGCCCTCCGGATCTTGCACAGATCTCTGTGTGGCCAACCCCAATCTAAATCAATACAAGAAATCAAATTCTGGGAAATGTATTTCCATGAAGCACTCTGTAGAAATGAAAATAAAACCTTATTTGTGTGTCCCATCTGTATCTCTCAGCAACCTGAGTGCTTTAAAGCAGTCGGAGGAAATAACCTAAGGAGGGTAGTGGAAAAGGACTATCTTCAGAGTAACCGATGATTGAAAATGGATTGAAACAGTTAATTGCTATTTCCTTGTTTTTGCGTGGATAGATGAAAAAGCAGTACCAATAAATGGACTTGGACATTTAAGGAAAACTAGGTTTTACTAGGAAAAAAGAAAATTGGTTTTTCTTGAGCTTATAAGTCAGCATTATGGTATCCATTTCAGAGGCATCATCTAATTTAAACATCATAAGCCTTGCATAATAAGTTCTATTTTTCCACTTTTTATTTTGGGGAATGACATTACTTTTCTAACTTGGAAAAGCTTCTCTAACTTTTATTGTCAGCAGAGGGTAACATACTAAGCAGCAAGGTCTGGATGATGAGAATCAACTGACCCCAGAACAGGGTGGTTGGAGACCTCAGTGATGGTGACATTCTGGAAACCATTCCTTAAAAAAAGAAAACTAGAAAATACGCCAAACTAGGTACAAATTGTTCCATGATCAATGGATAAGGAAATCATCCACTAACCATTAATTGTGCTGAATGTTTAACCAGTCTCTTCTACAGCTTTGTGCTGGGAAGAACAAGGAGCTAGACAGAAAAGAGATATTATTTCTGAAATACTGCAAGCATTTTCCATATGAGACTTCTGCCCCATGCCTTGACCTGTGATGCTATCTATCTGTGATGCTACCCCCTCAAATGTCTGCATGGTGTACCTCTCAACTTCCTTCATGTCTCTCCTCGAATGTCACCACTTGGGGCAGTCTTGAGCTAACTCTCTTTTCCTCCAACTACTGGGTTCCAGCACACTCCAAGCAAGCAAAGCAGGTCTTTGCTGAATTGCTGCCCTCTAGTGTTGTGAGAAAATGATTTGTAAGCCTGACACTGGCCTCCTACTGCCCTCCAGCGTTCCCTGGTTAGAGTTGCTGCTGATTGCTGATCAGTTAGTGACCTTCCAACTGCAGAGACAATTGTGGAGAACTGGCTGGTTTTTAATTTTTTTTTCCTCGCAGCTATGTAAGTGATTGACTTCAAAATGACAAATATAAGACATAGGCTGGTTTGAACTGGAGATAATAGGGTTATCTTGGAAAAAATCTTGGTATTGTGGCATAAGGTGGGAAGTTTTTCCCTGTTGCATGAAATTGGCCTATCCTCTGTCCTTGATTGTAGCATGTATACACCCTGAGAGGTGGGAGCAAGAGTCAATGATGGAGAAAAATAAAACCATGTAGGGAATACTGCTAGTGTAATCTTTCCATGTTATCATAAGCCACCCGCTTCCCTATAAAGCATGATGATGAACTGATTCACATTAAAAAGTAAGAAACATGATAGACCATGGATACCTATGACAATCTATGAGCTTAATCTTGAGGTTAAACTCCACTGCAACTTCACATTTTGTCTCTCAACCCCCAGCATTTTATACATTGCATCAACTGGTTGAGTGCCAAAATTGGCAAGTTAATGAATGGATGATTTGTGCATGTGTTCTCATTTAATTCAGATTGGAGCTCTTTACAGTTGGGTCTATACTCCTTCAGGAAGGCAGTATATCAAAGTGCTAGGGACCATAGATTTGGGTTGGAGACCTAGGTTCACCACTCACTAGGTAAATGATCTTGGTAAATTACTTAATATTTTTTTACCCTTCAGTTTCCTCTGCTCTAGAACACAGGTATGATAGTGTCTACCACACTGATGTTATGAGAAGTAACTGAGAAGATGAATGCCAATGTTTAGCCTAGTGTCCAACAGAGAGGTACTGACAACTTACAGTAAAGGAAATTGAATATGAGAGAGGTCAAATACCTTGCAGGTATCACAGCTATCGGTCAGAGTGGAGCCTTCCTCCTTACCCTATTTAGAGCAGATACCTTTCCTTACCCCAACAGTAACTATCTCAATGTGTCATATTATCTTTATAGTGCTTAACACTATTTAAAATCATCTTATTTTTAAAAACTCCACTTCTGGGCCTCCCCTGGTGGCGCAGCGGTTGAGCGCTGAGCTGTGAAGCTGCCCGTAGCCTCTGCAGCGCCAGTTCAATCTCTGGCCTCTGGCGAGGGTCCCACATGGCACACAGACCCCTCCCTCTGCACCCACTGCTTCCCTCAGCAGTGTATTTCATCAGTCTGCCTGTTCTCTTCCCCGCTCTGGCTCTGGTGAATTCTCTCACCCTCCCGCGCTTCTGACTGTACCCAGTGCTTGTATAAATAAATACATAAATCTTTAAAAAAAAAAAAAACTCCACTTCTATCATTTTCCCCCTGCCACTGCACTGCAGGCCTTTTCTCTTCCTTTACAGTTGCATCTTCCCAGCTGAGCACAATGCCTAGCACACAGAAGCACTATCAATATATATTTGTTCAACAAATGTGCAAAAGATAAAATCATTTCTGGAGTCCTTGCAATTCAAATAATAATACAAACGATGAAGCTGGATTAAGCTTAATCTTCACATTGTTTATCTAGCATTATCAAGATTTCTATCCTGAAAGTCACTTACCGTAAGATTTAATTTATGCAATATAGGAAGTGGTGAATTGACTGGGCCTCTACCTCAGGAAAAGTGACTGTAGATTGCAGGTATTTTCCTGACTCTTCGTAGCAATGCTCCCTCTGTTGGAGATATAACCTTGTTCCAGACACAGTCTCTCCAATAGATGGAGGCGTTTACCACTGAGTCATGTTCATCAGACAGAAGTTTCACAGTAAGTGAGGCTTTTTGAATGGTGTGACCATGTCTTCTCCTATCACTAATTCTTCTGAAAGTTGTGATCGAGGGTAAAAAAGGATCTGACTTGGAGCAACTCTTGTCTTACATCCCACTCCAAACTCTAGCCTTTATATTTCTAAATTAGGAAACATAAATGAGGCTTTTCAGGATTTGCTTAATTAACTATACCTGCGTGTCTTTTCTGGGGAAGGAAAGATAAACACTGGTCACCTAGACACCTCCAATCCTGTTCCATATTTCACATGATTTAAGCTTCAACATATGGAAGGCATGTCCCCTAGTTTAGCGCTTAACTACTCAGTTCCTTTGTTTAATTCAGTTGCTCACAGGAAAGAAGGTTTTGAAGCCAACTTATTTTGCCATCTCTCCAGAAGTAGATTTATATTCTGAACAATCTTAATTCTATATTGTACTACTAAAATTTCCTTGGACATGTCTTATATTTCCAGCAATATTTTGAGTTCACAAGCAAGTGTTTTTATGAATTTTAAAGTTCCTGGGGAAATTTTAGGTATGAAATCACTTTTCAAACAAATATGTTTGAATCAAACTAAAATTATGCCTAGACTATGACACAGGCAAGAAAGACCATAATTCATTTTTCCCCAGTAATTATTCTTTTATTTGTTAAACTAAAATACACTCATGAATAGCAACTGCAATAGAAAGGAATAGTCACAAACAAATGACAACAAGCATACGCCATATTAAAATATTCTGTTTTTCAATGCATCGTATATTTTGTTTTTTTAAATAAAATATGTACACATTTATATGGTTGTTCATTTTTCTACAATGTTTGATTTCTCATCACAGGTGTAGTCCCCATAAAATTCCTACCATCAAGTCACCTGTGAACCATCACCATAGTCTCTTGTGCTCTTCCTGCCCCTTGATCCCTCCCCCTTCTTGATCCCTCTCCCATCTTGATCCCTCTCCCATCTCCTCCCCGATTGAATGTCTACAATTTATAGTTTGCTTGCTAGTTTTGTCTTTTTATCCTGATCCCTTATTTGGTTCCCCTGTATTCCTCCTGTAAGTGAAACCATCCAATATTTTTCTTTTTCCTTATGACTCATTTCATTGAGCATAATCCCTTCTAGATCCATCCATGTTGCTGTGAATGAAATGCGTTTATCTTTTCTAAAAAAGATTTATTTATTTATGCATACAAGAATTGGGGTGTAAGCCAGAGGTGCGGGGGGAGGGGGTGAGAATAAAAGTAATCTACT